AGTCGAGTGCTTTATTTGCCTTGAAGGCTGTTTAGATTCGAATGGTTTATCGAATATAATAGGAAATATAGCACCTTTTGCTTAAGAGCGTTGATGGCAGCCATTAGAGTTGATGGGAGAGCGCCATTCATTTTGCTATGCCGTTGCACAAACCTCTCATATTAAACTTGAATTACAATTGTCGAGCACTGATGACTACAGACATCAAGCAAATCACGTATAGTTGTTTCAATACGATTTCGATGATCTGTACACCTCTTCACTCTATAACAACTGCACATCCCAAGGTCGGCGTTTCGATTTGTATTGGTCAAATCTTCCTAAACTAGCATCAAATCGGATTCGAAGTCGAACTCTTGCTGAAGTAGCTACACATACTGTCGTCAGTTTCTCAAAGTGTGTCCGTTCTGATACCATGCTGTGCGTCCATTGTGGTGGATGTAGGTTTCCGAGTGCCAAAGAGTACTACTCCAAACTAACGTTACTTTGCAGCTGGCCATCAAGCTCACACATGTGCCATACAATGTAGAATATGTGGTATTCGTAGGTGCATCCCAATACTAACGAGCTCAATTAATGGGATTATAGGCGGACACCACCAGAAAATTTGCTCCGAAAATACTACCACAAACCCAATGTCATCATGGAATCGAAACTCCCCACCTCACCAAGCTCCGATTGCGCCAGTGCCCAGCCTCCTGGGCCCGACGGTCCCATCCTCAGCGACTCCAGGTTCAGTGATTCCTGATGCAGTGGTCCCAGCTATCGTTGTTTCAGCGTCAATTCCTACGACACGCCGCAGAGGTAAGAAGAACCGGAAACGAAGGAAAGGAACTGCAAAAATGTGTTCTCAATGTGAAGAAGAAGGACATGATGTTTCTAGTTGCCCAATAACAATATGTAGATCATGCGGCGGCTATGGCCATATGCTCCCTCGCTGTCCTGAGAGCATTTATGAATGGTGTGGTGGAGGCTTTTGCTTCTGGTGTGATGGCATGGAGCATCGAATAGAGGACTGTCCTGTGCGGTTATTTGGCCAACATAAGAGGTATGGCGAATTTCATGGCAGACATCATAGTTGATCGAAACCTCTAGCGGGATCGCTTTTCGAATATTGAAGAATTGGTAGCCTAGATATCGACTAACATTTTGTGCACTAGAACTTTATCCTTATGAGATCCGCAATGGTGGCGAAAGTCATGTGGAAAGAGAAAGAAGGACATGTCGTCAGCAGAAGCTTCGGAATATATTGTACAAGTCAGGGGTACGTAGATATTCGTGGGGCAGAAGTTAGAACCTAGTAAACATGGCATGTAGGAGATGCTCCATCCTTGTTCGTTTCAAGTGTCTCAGCGAATTATGGTGCGAGATGCCCTGACTACAAGCTTCAGACATGAAGCCGAGGCGCAGACATACATATTGCCCGCCACCTATCTTCACATGGCATTGGGGAACAATGGCAATGCGATCATATGTAAACGATGATGCCTAGTTGAGGCCGAGAGCTTTAAAGCTTTGGTGTTTTCCACTTCAAGCTTCAAAACTTGTCCACACATACTCTTATCAGTCATTATGAAGAAGTTACAAACCTTAGCAGCGACCGTTGTCTTTTCTGCTGCGGCAGAGGCAATGGCAGCTATGATCTCAATCCCACAATATCTTCCTACAAAGTCATTTGCGACGACATTTTTGGGTGCCATCTTTTTGACCATCACAGTATGGAGCTTTTATCAGATGTTCATTTATCCATCCTTTGTCAGTCCGTTACGACATCTCCCACATCCAAAGGTAAATTCCGAGTGTAACCGCAATGTTCTTAGCTAACACATTACAGGGCGGCAATCTGTTCTTGGGCCACGGTCTATCGCTCTTCAAACGACCCCCAGGAAACGATTTCTTGAAGTGGATGAATGAAATCCCAAACGACGGAGTACTCATGTTCAACGGCTTCGGCAATCAACCACGTATTGTGTTGACCAATCCACGAGCTCTCAGTGAAGTTCTCGTAACCAAAACCTACGACTTCAAGAAACCAAAGCCACTTCGAACCTTTCTACGACGTATACTTGGAGATGGTCTCATTATTGTTGAGGGAGAAGAACATAAGTTCCAGCGCAAGCATGTTATGCCAGTGTTTAGCTTCCGACACATCAAGGAGCTTTATCCCATGATATGGAAGAAGGCTGTCGCATTGACGCAGGGCATTGAAGCAGAAATGGCCGAAAAGATGGATCTGTCCATGGGCGAGAAGTCCAAACACAACGTTGTGGAAGTAAACCACTGGGCAAATAAAGTAACAATGGACATCATCGGTGTAGCAGGACTGGGTCGAGAATTCAACGCATTGAAGAATTCGGATGATCCTCTGGTCCACAACTACGAAGAAATCCTCGAGCCAACTACCGAAAAGCTTACCTTCTTTGCGATGCAAATCATCTTGCCTCAATTCATCGTCAACCGCTTACCTTGGAAGATCAACGAGAGAGTCCGCGTGATCACCAGCAACCTCAACCGCATCTGTGGCGAGCTTGTCGCCGACAAACGTGCGCTTATTAAAGCCGATGCCGACGAGCATCTCGACATTCTCTCGGTCCTGATCAAATCCAACAACTTCTCTGACAAGCAACTTGTCGATCAACTTCTGACTTTCCTCGCTGCCGGTCATGAAACGACTTCAAGCGCATTCACTTGGGTCACCTACCTCCTCTCCACCCACCCCGAGATCCAAACCCGCCTACGCGAAGAAATCCGCAAACACATCCCCACCAACCCAGGCCCAGACTTCGATCTGGCCACAGTACTCGAAGCCATGCCACTACTAAACGGTGTCTGCAACGAGACACTACGCCTCTACCCCACAGTCCCCATCACCATCCGAGATTGCTACACAGATACCACTGTATGCGATCACTACATCCCACGTGGAACGCAAGTTCATCTTGTGCCCTGGGCAACCAACCGCCTACCAGAGTTCTGGGGATCCAATGCCGGCGACTTTGTACCAGATCGATGGATCGACAAAGAGACTGGCCGACCCAACAACACTGGCGGGTCAAGTAGTAACTACAACATCTTGACCTTCTTGCATGGGCCTCGGTCGTGTATTGGGGAGAAATTCGCAAAGGCAGAACTGCGTTGTTTGGTGGCGGCGATGGTTGGTGCTTATGAGATGGAGTATGCGGATCCGAGTGTTGAAGCTATACCGCATGGTGTGATTACGACGAAGCCAAGATGGGGTATGGAGTTGCGTTTGAAGTCATTACAGCAATGGTGAGAAGCTACTCTGTAAATGTTTTGGGCTAAACCAGGGGTTGCGGTATGTCCTTCTACAGTAGATGGCTAGAATTGCAGCTTCGTTCGATGATTATGTCTCATGTTTGTTTATTTGTTTAAGACTATTCCTGTATCGTTAGATAGGCTCCATGATATAGACACGACTTTTAAATGCATCACGTCAGCGTCCTAAAACTCCGTTCTCATCGCACCTTCCAGCCACGCAACACCAGCCATAACTCCATCCACAATCCTAACTGCCTTGCCTTCCTTCTCCCCCAACTCTTCGATCGCCGCTTCCCTCACCATCTCATTCATACCACTCATACCTGCACAACCTAAACATATCGCGCCCACATCGCCCTTCTTAAGCACTCGTTTCGTCGCATCCATCATCTTCTTACGCACCTCTTCCGGCGGCGCATCATGCAATTCAGTCGCATTCAACCCCGTAGTCTCCACCCCAGCAAATCTAGTCGACACAACCTTCACACCTAGAAACGCCTCGACCGCCTCATTGAGAATATCTTCCCAGACTTTGCCCGTGCTAACAATACCAAACTTCTGATGTGGTGCGATGATCTGTAGACTAGTACTGACGCTTGACTCGAAGATGCCAGTCACTGGTTTTCCGCTTGCTTGGATTGCAGGTTGAGCTTTCAGCCATGGGACGAGCGGGTGTTGGCTATAGCAGGCGGTGAGGAAACCATCGTATTTATCGAGAAGGGGGAGGAGAGCGGGACCGCAGTGTTTGGCGGATTCGGCGGCGTCGGTTTCGTCGTTGATGGATTTTGGGCCTGAGGGGGCGGTGAAGTAGTCATGTTGCGTCTGCAATAGATGATGAGTAATGCGCTGTGAAAGTAGTATCTTCATACTTCTGTAAATCCTAAAGCATCAACGAGTGGTTTGAGCGCATCAGTCATGGACTTTGTTGAATTGGGGTTGATGACGAGAATACATCGTTTGGGAGTCATGGTTGTGTATCTGACGGTGACTGAGATTTCTGGTTGTGTTTCCGGGAAAGTCATCTGCGATGCAAAGAGTTTGAAGATTTGGATTTGGAAAATGAAGTTGTAGTGAAGTTATAAGAACCGTGGTGCTTGATAAGGAAGTTATAGAAAAGTTCAAAGCGGAGAATACCGACACCGATTTCGGTATGACGCTGTAGCTTTTTTTTGCTCCATGTTCTTGAGAATAAACTACTTATGAAAACCGATTTTTACTGGCTGGGAAAGAAATTATACGCCTGCTTGTTCGAAAAGGCACCAAAATAAAGCAGTATGCTCGTGTTAACGTTATAGGTTCGGATTACGTTTATCTCTTTTTTTTTACTTCTTTCTGTCTATTGATTGCTCTTATACATTTAACATAATAAAGCCACATGGAGGGCAAGGTCGTAGTCAATAGTCAGGTACATTTGGTCGAAGTTACCCAATTTTCCTTGCTCCCCTAACCACATTCTGATATTGAGCGCCACGGCGCATACCGTAGGTTTCGGGAATGATATTTGAGAGTACTAAGATAAAATGGATTACAATACTTAAGTGGTTAGTTTTCAGGCTATAGATTTACGAGTTCGATAGCTTTGGTTCTTTAGGTATGATGGCAAAAGGGAAGTATAACAGTCACCACTGTCTCAAAGGAAGTAAAAAAAAGAGTTTTATCTGTACGAGAAGGGAGGATTGAACTCTAAAGCCGGTTGAGTCAGCATTTGCTCAGTTCTCTAATATACGAAGGTAACGTACCCCGACCTTCGCCGTGTAAAGGCGACATCATAACCACTAGACTATTCTCGCGCCATGATTGGCTGCTAGACAGCAGCTTTTTCGATCCAAACTTGTACCACTGAGGGCAAAAGATCAAACCAATATTCCGCGGCTTTTGTCAATATACTTGCTGTTACGCAAGCAGAAAATTTCGGTGTACGACGCTACAACATGACCTGGCGATGCTACCGCACACCCATTTGCCTCTATTTTGTCTCGAAAGAAAATACAGAAAGGTACAGAGTTTAGATGTTTAATACATGATCCAAAAACTTAACGGCATGAATGTTATTTTCGTTATTTGTCATCGAAATCTAAATGGTTAGGCAGTCTGTCTCGACGTTGACCGCCACCTTCAGTTGCAGTAATGCAGAAAACGATATGGTACCGAATAAATGTCTCAGTGTATATCTTGTCAGATCCATTGCTAAAAATTCCAATCTACTTCTTCCATATGGCCAAATTCTTTTGCTCTATAAATTCCAAAGGTGGTCATTAGTAGTAAAGTTGGCGCAAGGCAAGTACGACTAACAGGCAGCTGCAGGATAGCTAGTTTCAGCCTGATAGTCACCCAAATACCTAGTCCAATCCAGCCTACAAATTATCGATTGGTAATGCACGCCTAATATATTGTCTGGAAACAAACAGTCTATCAACATATGATGCGTATGAGCTATGTATTTCTGTCATCTCAATAATTTCATGATGTAAAACACATTTCTACTGACCAGCCATCAGAAGTATCTAGCCTTCTCTAATGTCCGCACAACGCCGCTTGAAAGTAATCTACAACTCATCCTTGCCCGGTGTAACCGTAACCATCTCAGTCTCAAAGACAAGCACCGAGTTGGCAGGGATTGGACCAACTGCACGCTCACCATATGCCCAGCTTGGCTGGATGGTAAGTGTACGCTTGTCACCGGGGCACATGTCTTCTAGACCCTTGTCCCAGCCTTTGATAACTTGTCCACCGCCGAGTGCGAAGGAGAGTGGTTGACCGCGGTCATATGAGGAGTCGAACTTTGTGCCTACAAGGAATTGTGTTAGTATATCATGGGAGGTATTTGAGAGGGTGGGTGGCAAACGTACCGTCTGTGAGTGTGCCCTTGTAGTGGACGCCGATGGTATCGCCTGCCTTGGACTTGCGATCGCATTCGCCGGCGTGGGTAATCTTGATGTCGAGGGGCTCGTCGAGAGCGGATACAAATGGGATCGCAACGGCGGCGAGGACTGTGAGGATGGAGAAGCGCATACTGAGATGTTGTGGAGATTGAAATGGATGGTGGTTTTGTGATGGATGGAATCGACGAGCGGAGTTATCGTCGTAGAGGATATGTTCTTGATAAAGTGAGATTTGGATGTTGTATGATATGTTGTAGTTTCAATAAATTGTACATGAAATATTGAAGACACCTTGACACATTCTCGATGTTTGACACGGGCCACTCAAGTCACGGGAAACGCACGTTTTAAATAGATTCAACTATAAACAACGCAAGGGCCACCACTAGCGAGGGGTCGGTCACGATGTGATAGGTTGAATGGAGATGCGGCTGGTTCACGCTTGCTGTGTTTGGCTGGGGCGTTCCTGCCTTTGCTGCAGTCCTTGAGTAGCCTGGTGTTTCCTTCCCTTCTCCAGAATTGCTCCTGCCTCCCCTGCACAGTCTCCCCGTCAACACCTTCCTCTCCAAATTTCAAATCCTTGGATTTGCTCCCTGTCGTTCTTGCATCTATTCTTTCGTTACTCAGCCCTTTCCATCTCTCCAGGTCCAGTTCCAAACATATAACCTCTACCAGGCGTCAACTCAATCACTTCTTCAAGAACATCATACACACTCGAACCGTTTATTCTTCCGTCCGGCCCCATCATTAACCAGCCTTCCACTCTCCACACCACCACCCCTTTCGTTGCCTCATTCCACCACGCCTTGTCCGGCTCCACGCTCGTCCAAACAGCTTGTCGGCTGTTCTGATCTTACAAGCAAGACTGTCACCGCCTCGTTGAAACCATGGGGTTCGGCGACTTTCACGACATCTGCGCGCATGCTGCTCTGCCGCTATGCAATCTCATCGGACCGCCCAGTCAGATTTCTGGTCATATTGGAATCCAGGCAACCTGCTTCTCGCGATCCGTTGTATTGGCAAATACCCTCATCTTCCAAGGAGCCACAGACTTTATACATATACTGGCTTTGATAATGGCTTCCATCATGATCATTCACGTGCGATCAAAGTTTACCGCTGTTGGTATGTCGCAGGACGCGAATCCATTCCTTTGACTTTGTCCCGCTAACATAATCATAGGCCGAAAGGAAATCACCTTCTTCTTCTACCTATACATGACCCTGACCTGCTTCTCCCTCGTTCTCGATGCCGGTGTTATTCCTTCCGGTAATGGCGCCTATCCATATTTTGTCGCCGCTCAAAATGGTCTTGCATCGGCGCTCTGCACGAGTCTGTTGATCAATGGATTTGTCGGCTTCCAATTATATGAGGACGGAACTACACTCTCAGTCTGGCTATTGCGATTCTTTACATCAGTTATGTTCGTCATCTGTGGCGCCATCTCCCTCTTGACTTTCAAGGGATGGGCCGGCCTAGGACCAGAGAACACAGTCGGAATGTTCGTAGTACTCTACATCTTCAACGGCATCTTTCTCGCCATCTACGTGGTCATGCAAGTTCTTCTCGTCCTCAATACATTGGAAGACCGCTGGCCAATGGGTGATATTTTGTTTGGTATCTTTTTCTTGATCATTGGTCAAGTCATCCTCTATGTTTTCAGCGGCAAAATTTGCGAGGCGGCTTCCCATTATCTTGATGGCCTTTTCTTTGCAACCATCTGCAACCTCTTGGCAGTTATGATGGTCTACAAGGTAAGAATTACCCGGTTCAATATATCATTCATGTCACTAACCTACTATAGTACTGGGATTCCATTACCAAGGAAGATCTGGAATTCAGCGTCGGCGTAAAACCAAACAATTGGGAAGTCAAGGAACTGATGCCCGAGGAGGAACGCCGAACTACCTACTACCACAATGACAATGGATCCGAGTACTCCAACAGCTTGTACCAACAACCGACTCAAAAACGGAACTCAGGTCATGGCTGGCATTACTAAGAGTGTTAAGAAAATGACGAATATTTGCATCAGCATGCGTGGCGTTTTGGTTTGGTTTAATTTATAATTGATTTATTCATTTTTGGAGCGACTCCCAAGCGCAAGAGTGGACGTATTGGTTTGAGATTGGGGATTTTGTATTCTTGATACCTCTGGATTCAGAAGGTTTGGTTGAGAGTGAGCGACACTCTCGAGGATAGTATTATGGACAATCATTACGCAGCGGATACATCAATGGTATTACTAGTAGGCTAATGATTAGCATTTCTGGAAAAGGCCAACAGATTTCGGCCAAGGAGAATCCCACCTGATCAAGATTCTCCTGTACATAGTTGCAATAGAACTAATATCAATTCTCAAAGCAAGATTTGGTACTCATCATCTCGTTATTGTCATTATCTAGCTATCTACAAAAGCAAATGGAAATTCTTTCGCTCAAAATGCAACGCTACGAAGCTATATACTAACCCAGCAGCTCCAACTCTCGCCTATATGGATCCTCTCGCTTCCAAAATGTTCGTACTTCATAATACAGCATATCATCAAGAGGAAAGTCCACGGTTCCGTTGGCTTCGTTGGAGTGGTGTCGATATGAAGATTTTTCAAACTTGGCTGGGCCGATCCAGCGGTTTGTTGTCTTTGAATGCATCGTCATATATACTTCTTTTCGTTCTTCGTCGTTGACAAGCTCACTTTCACCATTCTCATCAGCTTCGTCATCTTCGATCTCATGGACCGGTATAACGGGATTTGATACTCTCAACCGCCAATCCCGTACCCGTCCCTCAATGATCTCCTCCAGCTCCTTCCGTCTCCCATTCCTCGTCTGCCACACCCATTCCAACGTCTTCACACTCGCCGGAATCCTTAACCTATCCACCCACCCCGCCCGTCCCGTCCTCTCGCCCTCCGTATCCGTCTCCTCATCCTCATCCTCATCCCGCTCATCCTCATCCTCATCCTCGCCGTCCTCCGACCCCTCACCAATCCGCGGCGCAGTCTCAAAATGCGGCGGCTCATCCTCATCCCACCCCTTCCAATCCGCATACCGAACCGTCAAAACCAACTCATCAACCCTAACATTTCTCTCCAAACAATGCAACAACCCCAGCAACCCATCACTCTCCACGCTCCACATCTGCGCATACACATGCACCTTCGGCATCCAGCCCAGCGGGCATTTATACGGACTGCCATACGTATACAGGCTATGACTACACAGCGCAGTTGCTCGGTGCGCAGCGGACTTGGCACATACGTCGTTGCAGTCACGTAGATTGCGTGCGTGTGTCAGGGCGACGTGCTCGTTTGGACAGCGTGAGGGGATGCCGAGCCAGAAGCGGAATGTGGCGTTGCGTTGCGGGATGGGGCGGGCTTCGTGGTGGATGCGTTTGCAGGTTCGGAGGAGGGTGGTGGGGATGTGGGTGGGGGACTTGTAGGTGGGTTGGTACCAGTGGGCGGAGAGGTCGAAGGGCGTGCGGACGGGTGTTTCGATGAGGATTAGGGAGTAGATTTGGTGGCGGATTTCGGGGGGGAGGAGGGTGAAGAAGAGGGATTGCGGTTGATGGTTTACGGTCGATGGGTCCAGGTGGTAGCGGCGGAGACGGTTGGGTTTGATGTGGGATGGGATGGTGTATGGCTCTTCGGCGGGTGGTGGTGAGGAGGTGGGTATATAGCTGGCGACTTTGGCGAAGGTTGAGGTTGTGGGTGAGGCTCTGGGTGATGTTGGTGTGCTTGGTGTTGGGGACATTGTGGGAGCTTCGTTGCTTGTGCTTGAACTGGGCTCGATGGTATCGTGTGTTTCGTTCGTCGAAGCACTTTTCGGTCGTCTACTGAATACTCGTAAAGGCAGCAGTAGGAGTCGAGCTGCTCGAGCTCTTTTCGACTTTTTGGCGGGCATGATGGT